AAGGGGATTGCGTTTACAGTGGAAGTCTCTGCCCTCCTTCTCCTGCAAATGAATGAGAAACTCTTAGAGAAGGAGAACCTCCACTCCAGCTTCATAGCGAATGCCTTAGTCGAGTCATGGAGAACCTCCTCTCAATCTACTCAGTCTGAGGCTTCGAGAAGGAGCTCGATGCTTCGCTCTCCAGCAGCAGTTCAAGGGCGATTGTCTGACGAAGAACAAGAATCCACGCACATCCAACAATCAGAGGAGAAGAATGCTGCAAATGAGTAGAGTGAAGGTTAGCGTCTTCGAAGGCGAGGGGGATGGGAGACACGACTGGAAGGGAGAAGAAGAAGAGGATTAAATCCTGGCCACACGAGGAAGAGGTTGACTCCCTTGGCATCCAGGAAAGCAAATCAAATGAAGCCAAGATGGCGGAGGGGAATACGTTGTGGTGGGACGGACCACATGTGTGGTCTCCAGCCCAGGACACTCGTGGAGGGGGGGGGGGAGTCGCAATCTTGCTAAACAAGAAGCGGCAATCTCACCTCGTGTACTCCGAGGTAGATCTGTGTGGACGGTGGGCGTGGATCCAATTAATGTGGAATCGGGAAGAGCTAGTGGTCGTGGGCATTTATGCCCCATCGGAGCCAACGGCTCGAGCGACTTTCTTCAAGATGTCGGTAACAGCCTTCCCACCCACAGACCACGTGTTGATCACGGGAGACTCGAACCGTCTCGCTAGACGAAGCTATACTGGAAGGTTCACGCTCTGCAAGAAAATCGGACTCAGTTGCACTCTTGGAACTGATGAGAGAACAGGTCCTTGCGGACACTTTTCGAATTCTGAACCAGCTGGATCCAGGACACACCTGGTTCTCCCACGTCCGCAAGGATAGTGGTGCTGTCACGAGAAGAGGCATCTGGAATACTTCCTCTCTAGTGCCTCGCTCACTCAGAAAGTAACCGCAGTCGACATCGGACGAACCTGCTCTCTGATCACAAGCTGGTGATGCTCCAAGTCCTGCTGGGCTCAGCATCAGAGAGCGGCAGAGGATATTTCAAGCTCAATAACCAGAACCTGGAAGACCAGGGCTTGAAGGACCGGGTGGCAGATCACATGAGAGAGATTGGGAATCAGCTACAGCGTTCTTCCCCTCAGCTGCAGATTGGCTGGACGGAGGAGGTACGGCCCATTATCTCGGGCATGTTAAATCTCTGTTCCCGTATCCTGACCAAAGGTAGGAACAGAGAAGAGGAACAATGTAAAAGGGCAGTGGAAGAGGCGGAAAGAAGAATGGAACAACATCCAATCTCTGAGATGGTTAAGACAGCAGAACGGGAGCGAAGATTAGCCAAGCGGGAGAAGGAAAATTCAAATAGACAAGCACCAGCCGTGAGAGGAAGCTCTCAGGGTGAAGGGCATCCAGGTTGAAGACAGACTCACCGGAGACATTCCAGAGGCTCCTCCCCAGCAGGACATTCCAGCAAGTGGTACACCTTGACCACCCATTCGACTGCGATGCCACCCCTGCTTCCACTCCTGAGGACATCCTCGAGTACGCTCGCTGCTACTACGCAGATATCCTAACCGCTGGGCGAGAACAGGACTCTGTCCACTGGGCGAGAACGGGACTCTGCCCACTGGGTGAGAACAGGACTCAGTTCACTCTGACCTTTCTCAAGAAATGGACATGTGGGCACACACACACGTCAAACTCACCACGGTCGGTGGAACGGCTGTCGTTGGACAGACCGATTACAACGGGGAAATGGGATCGGGGAAATGCCCGGGGAAATGGCATTGGGAAAATGCCCGGAGAAGCTCGGCAGACTCTGAAGGCCATGGCATCGGGGAAATGCCCGGGGGTGGACGGATTAACCGCTGAATTTTATCGAGAATGCTGGGAGGCAGTAGGCCCTCCACTAGTAGAAGTTTACAATGATCTATTGAGTGGGGGGTCAGTTAGGCAAGGGGGGATGACGCATGGGGTGATGATCTCCCTGATGTTCAAGAAGGGGGATAAAGCCGACGTCAGGAACAATCGCCCCATCTCAGTGCTCAACGTGGATGATAAAATCCTGGCAAAAACATTGGCGCTGAGACTGGGGGTGGGGGGAGCATCCTACCTCGATTAGTTGAGAGGGACCAGGGGGCCTTCATGCATACAGGACAGATCCATCTTCATTAACATCCTCACTGCGATCTAAGCCCGCCAAAGACGTCATTCAAGCGGAGAGCAGAGACACGGCAGTCCTCCTGCTGGATTTCGAGAAGGCAGACAACCGCATCGGGTGGGCTTTCGTACTTCTTAACACGTTGAGGAAGATGGGTTTTGCCGCTGGGTAATTTGCAATGTATTGTGCCTCGACCTCCACAGTCCTGGTCAATGGCCATCTTTCGCAGCCCTTTCAAATGTCCAGAGCTCTTCGTCAGGGCTGTCCGCTAGCCCCTCTCCTCTTCGTTCTTCAGCTGAAGATCCCCCTGAACTGCATGAGAAAGCATCCATCCATCCCCGAAACTCAAGTAACAGACAGCAAGGAGTGCAGGGTGAAGGCCTTCCCTGACGACCTCTTCGTTGTGTCTGAAAACTCACCTGAGTCTCTCGATGCAGTGAAAGCGGTACTCATGGATTACTCACAGCTGTCTGAAGCACTGGTCAAATGGAACAAATCCTACTACCTTCTTCCCGGGGCAAGGTCCCACCTGCGCAAATTAGGAGATTTCGGCGGTTGATCTTTGCGATCTATGGTCAGTATCTCTTAATTCGTGCAAGTGGGACCTAGCCCCCGAACAGTTCGCCCTGTGCATAGAATGGGGCATGCAGCGGGTAGAGACTCGAGAGCTGGAGAACATTTTCTGGGAGTTCTTGTTAGCCTGCAGGTCATGAGCGCTTCTCGGGGGGTTATCATTCAACAAAGAATCTCAGCCCAGTTAAGGAGGCCATCTCTAGATGGAGTACCGGCAGTGTATTTCAGGAAACTGTGGGGGATCCTGCAGATACTCCCCAAACTTAAACCACACAAGTACAAAGCCACAGCCTTGCAGTCTCAGGGGGTTATCATTCTCGTTAGCCTGCAGGTCATGAGTGCTTCTCAGGGGGTTATCATTCAACAAAGAATCTCAGCCAAGTTATTAAGGAGGCCATCTCTAGATGGAGTAGTGTCCTCCTAGAAGACTTGCAGCAGCCGGCAGTGGATTTCAGGAAACTGTGGGGGATCCTGCAGATACTCCCGAAAACTTTAAACCACACAAGTACACGGCCCCACCCTTGCAGTCCAAAACTTGCCGCCACTAGAAAGCGAGCGAGGGCGAAACGTCAAACGCTGGGCCCACCGTCGATAAATTCGATCGGCGGCCACATTTTCGTTTCGCGACTCCAGAAGAATTTGAGGGCCATTGATAAATTCACACAGCGGCCGCATTCTTTTTTCTTTTTTTTTTTAATTTGGACCATTTCTCAATTTATGCGTGTCATCCTTGAAAGCGCAGGGGCCATGCTAATCTTCATTCTCTGTATCGTTCCAATTTTAACGGATGTCCCGAAGGACAGCGGCGTCGGATTTTCGTTTCGCGCCTCCAGAAGAAGGAATTTGAGGTGTCAGACCGGCGGCCCAGCTGCCCATGTACTGGTGGTTTAAGCATTCCTCCCTTACTCCCTTATTCTGTGGATGCTGTCGCTGTACCTGGTCAATTTGGTACAACCCCATTGGCAGTGTGGTTGCTGGGCAGGGGTGTGGAGGATGCACATGCTGTACCTGGTCATTCGAGTCCACCAGACATCTGTGGTGGGACTGCCCAGCCTCCAAAAGAATCCGAACGTCGTGGGGGTACCATTGGCAAAGGATGGAGGGAAATGTGGTTTTGTGGGGTGAAAAGTGGGTTCTCTTGGGTTTCACCACGGATGGATGGACATTTCGGGTAGGAGAGGCTCGGCATTTGTAGCCCATGTGGTTAGCGCGGTCATTGGCAGATAGAAACCGCGGTCTAGATTCGACGACGCCACATTCTCAGATATTGAGATGAAAGCAGCCATCAAAAGGGCCATCAGACAGGCCATTTTTATTGTCGTGGACTGGAGGAAAAGGGTCAAGAAAGGTAAAGGCCCTAGAAGAGAGATCTGGTGGTTTCTCAAAACTTGGGCGGGCTCAAGGGAACCAACTCGCAGGCATCCACTGCACCAAGGGTCTAATTATAACTAGGTGGCTTTTTTTTTTTAAAGCAGGGCAGTTTAGTCTATGGCCTGTGGATTACCAGGGCACTCCGTCCCACAGCCCTAGCTAATTACCCTGAGTGCGCCCTTTTCAACCAGGGCACTCGGTTGTATAGGGCCGCAGTGGGCCACTAGTGGAGTGCCAGTTGGAAGTGAGTGTTAGAGTCTAGGGTTGGAATAGGTTGGAATAGGCTGGGCAACTTAGGTGGGGTCTTCTAGGCCGGTTTTTTTTTTTTTTTTTTTTTTTTTTTTTTTTTTTTTTTTTTCAAACAGGTCCTTATGGCCAGCAGTCCGGTTCCTCTGGGCCGTGTTAGTTTTTTTTTTTTTTTTTTTTTTTTTTTCAAACAGGTCCTTATGGCCAGCAGTACGGTTCCTCTGGGCCGTGTTAGTCCCAGTGCAGGTCCTAATTACAGATATAGTCTAGGGCCTGTTGGCTTATTATCGACTTAGTCTAGGGCCTGTTGGATTATTATAGATTTAGTCTAGGGCCTGTTGGCTTATTATAGATTTAGTCTAGGGCCTGTTGGCGTGACTTCAGTTAAATCTAGACAAGGTCTTACTCCCATCCTTCGGATCAACTACCTCAAATGAACCAAGTCAATTTCTGCTCAGTGTTACTTCACGTTTCTGCTCCATCTTGTAGTAGCTTAGGGAACTGGAAAGTCAGTATAGTGACTTTCTGCAGGCTCTAGCCTGTAAGCTAAGCTGGCTGATGCTTTCACTACCCCGGGTAGAATCGTGAGGTCCCCGCCCTCGTTTGGATATTGAAATGAACTGAGACTGTTTTAAATATTAAAAAAAAAAAAAAAAAACTTGGAACGCGCCTGATGGAGAGGGATTCCCAGTTCTCTGATCACTCGACTGACATCTCCTTACATACCCACATTA